ACAACCGGTGTTTGTTTCTTAAAAAGGCCGCCCTGGAACAAGAGGAGTCCAAGATCCTGCGCTCTCAGATGGAGCTGAACCACGTGAAGGCCGAGGTGGAAAGAAAAGTGTCGGAGAAGGACGAGGAGATCGACCAGCTGAAGAGGAACAGCCAGAGGGTGACGGAGTCCATGCAGGCCACCCTGGACGCAGAGGTGAGGAGCAGGAACGACGCGCTGAGGATGAAGAAGAAGATGGACGACGACCTGAACGAGATGGAGATCCAGCTGAGCCACGCCAACCGGCAGGCGGCCGAGTCCCAGAAGCTGCTGAGGAACATCCAGGGGCAGCATCAAGTAAGATTATAAGATTATTATAAAACGTAAATTATGACATGGTGTGTTCAAATGTAATCTTGGAAACATTTTAGGTAAGATTTAGGAGTGAAAATTAACGAGAAATGGCGTCACATTTACCCAAAGTGACACCTTCACCATGTATGTTATCATTACTAACACATTAACATTATTAAAAGGAAAATATTCACATTTGTGAAATATTGTTGCGTTAAAAAACGTTATTTTCCTCTGAACTGTCGTGGAGTAAATACTACTTTAAAGCAGCAGTGCCTCCACATTGTACTTGAATAAATGTACCTACTTTACTTTTTTAGGACGCTCAAATCCACCTGGACGAATCGGTCAGAGGGCAGGACGACATGAAGGAGCAGGTCGGCACGATGGAGCGACGGACGGCGTTGATGCAGGCCGAGATCGAGGAGCTCCGAGTCGTCGTGGATCAAACGGAGCGGAGCCGCAAAATATCTGAGCAGGAACTGATCGATGCCAGCGAGCGCTCGGGACTTCTACACTCTCAGGTGGGCTGTTCAAGAACTATCGAAACTTATCGAACAAACGCTTTTTATTTGTGATCTGCAGAAGTCACACCTGCTTTATCTTTTTGGCAGAACACCAGTCTTCTAAACAGCAGAAAGAAGCTGGAGGCCGACGTCACTCGTCTTTACTCTGAGATCGAGGAAGCCGTTCAAGAGGCCAGAAACGCCGAGGAGAAGGCCAAGAAAGCCATCACTGACGTAAGTGTTTCACGTATTCTGCTTATAACATGATGAGATTTTATGAATCTTTTTGTGAAACCTCCAGGCCGCCATGATGGCCGAGGAGCTGAGGAAGGAGCAGGACACCAGCGCTCACCTGGAGAGGATGAAGAAGAACCTGGAGGTGACGGTGAAGGACCTGCAGCACCGACTGGACGAGGCCGAGAACGTGGCCATGAAGGGCGGGAAGAAACAGCTTCAGAAGCTGGAGGCTCGGGTATGTTTACTGTTACATAATCATAATAACAATAATAATGTAAAATGTTTGTGTATTTATCATCTGCACTAAAATAGACGTGATAGACAGTAATGATCAGGCTCCCTCCATCAGAGCTCATTAAAGCTGCTACAAAGAACTTTCCTTTTGTGTTGCATCTATTTTTTAGAATACTGTCTATTTCTGTATATTATTTAAGTAATTTTTCTGACATCAGCAGTCCAACTAAAGCCCTGGAGGCCCACTGGGACATTAAAATGCTTAAGATCATAGAAAGGATCCTGAATTGTGTCCATCAGGTCCGAGAGCTGGAATGCGAGCTCGAAGCGGAGCAGAGACGCTCGACGGAGGCCATCAAAGGAGTCCGGAAATACGAGAGGAGAGTCAAGGAGCTGAGCTATCAGGTAGAGATGCAACAGATCTGACTTTGTTGGTAATGTACCGAACCCGAACGAGCATTTCAGCGACATATTGTTGTTCAAAAATATCAAATAATGAAAGACAGAATCCAGAAGTTTGTCTCGACTCGTTTCAGTCGGAGGAAGACAAGAAAAACAACATCCGGCTGCAGGATTTGGTCGACAAGCTCCAGAACAAGATGACGGCCTACAAACAACACGCAGAAGACGCTGTGAGTCACTCTCCATCTGCAGACATAGTATTCAAGATTCAAGGCACTTTACTTTACTTGAGTATTTACATTTTACGCTACTTTATACTTCTACCACCACACCTTAAAGGTAAATATTGTGCTTTTTACTACATTTGTCTGACAGCTTTAGCCACTTCCTGTCCAGTGAAAACCTCGTACCTCCAGATGTGTTGATGCTGAATGTTTGTGATGAACTGAAGGATGAAGTGTTTCCTTCATGTGTTGAGAGAATCCTCCTACTTCTTAAACATAAACTAAATAAACTCTTTAAAAGACCTCTTGGATCAGCTGGAAAACTCTTTAGAGACACGAGGTTCTGACAGGACAGAGACGCTACAAACGTGATGATCTTATTGAATGTGATGCATTGATGGAGATTAAAATAGTTAAAAACATGCAACATACACATTAATACAGCAGTAATAGTAATCCAGTAAAACACAGACTGGGAACATTTTACTGCACAATGAGTACTTTTACTTTAGAGACTTTAAGTGCACTTGCGTTAGAGTATTATTACAGTGTGGTATTAGTACTTTTACTTAAGTAAAGGATCTAAATACCCCCCCTCACTGACTGATACGTTAAACTCTCCAGGAGGAGCAGTCGAACATGAAAATCGCCAGATTCAGGAAGGCTCAGCACGAGCTGGAGGAGGCCGAAGAGAGAGCCGACGTGGCCGAATCTCTGGCCAATAAGATGCGAGCAAAGAGCCGCGAAATAGGGACGAAGGTACCGATTGTCTTTTATTTCATATGCACAGTAAATACACTGATATGTAGCTGTTATTAATGACTGTGTGATTAGAACTCAGTGGTAGGAGAGAAGATATAAAGCTAGTCATCGGGGTTTTTCTCCCATAAATCTACATTTTTGGCTTCTACAATTAAATCTGATGTTAGAAATTAAACTTCTTTATTTAATCATGAATTAATATAAACTGTTTTTGCATCGTTTGCAGGCACAAGAAGGACAGGGCGAGAAGATGAATGTTGGACTTTAACTCTCCAGCGGAGACAAATGTGCACGACAGAAATGTTTAGAACCAATTATTTAAAAAGTAATTTATAGTTCATCATATTTATATCACAGCGTGTTTAATCATGTCAATAAATCTTAAGAAAATAAATTTGCACTCCTCTTTCAAATAAGTAAACCTTTTTCATTCGTATATATTTAATTCATATAAATCCAGTAATGATGACATCAGCTGTTGCTGCAATATTTGTCCCCAAATAATTAAATTACATTAAATCCTCCGTAAAATTAAATGATAATGTGATTTTTAATGAGTGTCGACTTGTTTTACAAGAGATGTAATTCTGTACATGTTCATTCTGTAGTATATTAGTTACTTATTGTGATTTAGTGGCTGCAGGTTCATTTAAACACAGCGGGTTGCTGTAACTTGATTCAAAAACTTTGTTCGGAAATATGAAATAATAAATCACAATGAAAAACATAATACAATTATAAAACATGTTGCATTAGAATGTTTAATCAAATGATTAAGCATGTTAATCCATTACATCCTTTAATTATTCTGGTTAAATGAATCTTTGTTCACTCATTTCCTGTCTGGTTGGATTCACAAACGTCTCATTTTACAAATCCAAGTCAATTTTTTTATGTTTCTTTCACTGTCGTCGTTTAGTTTCTTGTTCATTGTTTTAGAAAAGTAATAAATGTTTGTAAAAGTAAAGTCATTTGTGCTGTTTTCACTCACTGAACAGGTGAATATCTGTACTTCCCTTCTATATACAGCAATGAATACATAAAATCATGATAATAATAGTAATCATAATAACATACGCCTCTATCTGGATTAATACAAGAAATCAAAGAAAGGGATTTTTTTTATACTTTATTGAAATTTAGGCAACATACGTCCACGACCACAATGCAAACAGTTCCTGGAGCTCATCATTGTTCTGCATCGCTTCGTATTTAAAGCCACGATGTGTAGATTTAGAAAATGTTCTGCTTTGTCTCCCTCCAGTGGTCAACTTAAAAAAGACACTTTAGTGTGTTTCCATTCACTTGTTGTCTGCTCGTTTACAATTTGTGCATTAAAAAAATGATTGGAAAAGACAACAAATTTAAAAATATCACCAATTTTTGAAATGTGTTTAATGCTCGTCTGAGGTGAAAGTTTGTGTATCTATAAAATACAAAGAGTAACATAAACGTCAACTCAAGTTTCAACTGAAGAGCTGAAATCATCAGATCTGTTATCTGAAGATGATCTTCCTCACATTCGTGCTCAGAAACACCACTTCTGTCCACAGGGGGCGCCACAATCAACACAACGTTAAAGTTCCTCATGGTAGCTTTAAATACAAAAGTCAAAATATACTCAAAAGTACCACAAGTAAAAGTACACATTACACAGAATTTAATATTTATATTACTGGATTTTAATTATTGATGCATTAATGTGTTCATCACTTTAATGTTGCAGGTGGTAGTTTTATTTAAAATAATTATATTTTGTGTTTAAAATCTGTAAAGTAACTAATGTTGTCAAATAAATGTAGTTGAGTAAAAAGTACATTTCCCTCTGAGATCTAGTGGAGTAGTCGTATAAAGCAGCATGTAAATACTCAAGTAAAGTACATTACTTGAGTAGATGTACTTAGTTACATTCCAGCGCTTCATCGTCTTTGTTGTTTTCCATAATTTGAGTTTTTTTAAATTCCATCATCTTGCTGCGTCGTCTTCTTCTTCTGCAACACTTTGAGAGCAGCTGAGTGGACGATTAAATATTCACTCAGCAGCAGTGGATGGAACTTCATTTGCAGTTTATTTTGCTGATTTTCCGGAAATTCTGCCAAAATTTGGACTTCATTTGGATGGAAACTTGATGACTCACTTTTATTTGTCTACAAACGATAACTGAGGTCATAGAAATGGTTAAACAGACGCAGCGCTGTCATACAAACACACACATAATGGCTTTAAACGAAGAAATAAACACATAGGAGTATGTTGAACGCTATCTCATCGTCTCCAGAGGCGTCTCTGCGTCCTCTTAAGGTTTACTCGCCGCTGTCTTTCGCCTGCTGAATGAGACAAAGACAAAGACGTCATCAGTGGTGAAGAGATTCAGTTTGTAACCAGAAGCCGAACCGACTCACCTTCCCCAAGTCGCGGCTCTTGACTCTCATCTTGTTGATCTGGGACTCGGCGATGTCCGCTCGCTCTTCGGCCTCCTCCAGCTCGTGCTGCACCTTCCTCAGCTTGGTCAGGTGAGCGTTGGCCTGCTCCTCCTGTCCGGCACCAAACAGCTGATTCACGAAAAAGCTCCAAATGTGACGTGAAACATCTCAATAAGATAAAATAAATAATCACTCACGGCTTCTTCCGCCTGCCTCTTGTACGCTTTGACCTTCAGCTGGAATTTGTCCACCAGATCCTGCAGCCTCGTCGCGTTCTTCTTGTCCTCGTCACACTGAAGTTCAACAACAGGAGACAGATTATTTACAGCTGCGAGTAGGGATGGGTATCGTTAGGGTTTTATCGATACTAGTACTCTTATCGATACTGATTATCGGTTCTTTTTTATTATCTTGTGAGAGAAAATGATAATTAATTAAGAAAATAATCAACATTTCTTTATTATTCTTGTATATAAACAAATAGTCTTTCTTCAGCAGCAATACAAGAAGTTACATCTCACTCCGGAACTTGTTAAAGTACAGATAGCAGAACGGGTAACTCCGTTTTTTTACTAATTTAGAACTAAATTTCATGGGGGGGGGCATCCCCTCCTGTGAGCACGAAAGAGGAGCACGCTGTGGTGTTTAGAGGTTACCTGATAGGTGAGCTCTTTAATCCGGCGCTCAAGTTTGCGAACTCCTTTCACGGTGTCCGATCCGTGTCTTTGCTCCGTCTCCAGCTCGTTCTCCAGCTCTCGCACCTGCAAAAGAGCAGTTCAAATGAATTTAATTGATTGTAAAAGATAAAACGAGCTCTGATCATCCTCGCAGGACACGTCAATAACTTTTTGCCTGATTAAACGCTTTCAAAAACTCTTTTTCCTGAAATAAATGTTTGAATAAAGTAGCAGGTTTGTTACAGAACCAAAACGATTTGAACAAATCGATCACTCAAGCAGGATTTATTGGTGATTTAATGCACAATATTTCACCCTTGCTTCCAGTTTTTGGAGTTGTTTCTTCCCACCCTTCATGGCCAGGTTCTCGGCCTCGTCCAGACGCTGCTGCAGGTCCTTCACCGTCACCTCCAGGTTCTTCTTCATCCTCTCCAGGTGAGCGCTGGTGTCCTGCTCCTTCTTCAGCTCCTCGGCCATCATGGCGGCCTGGACAATGTAGTTAAAGTAGTGATTAGATTGCTTTTTAGTTCAGGTTGAGAATTTAACGTTAGATCCAGACACTTACGTCAGTGATGGCCTTCTTGGCTCGCTCCTCGGCGTTCCTGGAGGCTTGAACGCTGTCGTCCATCTCCGCCTGAATGTGAGACAGATCAGCCTCCAGCTTCTTCCGACTGTTGAGCAGAGTGGTGTTCTGTAAGAAAAGTTTTTACAGGAAGTTATGTTTCATATAATAGCAGCACATCGATGCCAAATACATCGTAAAATACCTCGAAGAAAAGGCCACGAGTTAGTTTGAGACAGATGATTTATCAGTCTCCTCTTCGTTGTTCCTGTCTGAACGCAACACTCACTGGGCTGTGATTGGTCTTTTTCTGATTTATTTAAATGAAAAAATTGCATCTGTTCTGGAAACGTAGCTGAATATATTGTATTATCTGTCAAAATCAAGTTCTGAATACATTTAAACCTAAAACAGATTAAGCACTTGGAGAATCATTATTTATTTAGGTATGGCGAAGGTAAATTACAACATTACCAAGATGTGTTCAGATGTAACTTTTGAACCTCGACTGTGGTGATGACCGACCTGTGAGTGGAGCAGCTGCACCCTCTCGCTGGCGTCCAGCAGCTCCTGCTCCACCAGCTTGCGGCTCCTCTCCGTTTGCTCCAGAGCCGCTCGGATCTCCTCCATCTCGGCCTGCATGAGGTTGCTCCTCCGCTCCGACATGGCGACCTGCTCCTTCGTGTCCTCGCTGTTTCTCAGAACGTCGTCCAGTCGAATCTGAACTTCCTGCATGGCAGAATAAAAGCAAAGTCTTTTTCCACCGTTCGTGCAAAAGAAAGATAAACTGTGAACGTGAATCTCACCTTCAGCTGGACTTGGATGTTCCTCAGCTGTTTCTGGGACTCGGCCGCCTGCCGGTTGGCGTGGCTCAGCTGGATCTCCATCTCGTTCAGGTCGCCCTCCATCTTCTTCTTCACCCTCAGCGCGTCATTCCTGCTCCGGACCTCGGCGTCGAAGTTGTTCTGCATGGTGTCGATTACGCGTTGGCTGTTTCTCTTCAGCTGCTCGATCTCCTCGTCCTTCTCCGCTGTCTTCTTGTCCACCTCGGACTTCACCTGGTTCAGCTCCAGCTGGACTCGCAGGATCTTGGATTCGTTGTGCTCCAGGGAGGCCTGATTCCAGATGTGACACGCGGTGATTATGACCAGAGAGATGGTGGAGTTTGTGTAAATATACACAACCGTTCAAACGTTTGGAACACCTGCTCTGGAGTCTACTCAGTGGTTAGACTGAAGAAGTTTAGACTGTGTTTAGTTCAGCTGATGTTCCAATAGTGCTGACCCTAGACCAGGGTCTAGACTCTAGACCTAAGGTTGCCCACCATTTCAACGTTTCCTCATTCAACGTTTCATATGATGTCTTATAAAGAGTTACTCTTCGTTTTTTGTGTTTGCCTACGAAAGTCCAGCAACACATGTACATTTCTGCTCATTAGAAGATCATGAAATACTTGGTTAGGTTTCGTACTTGATTAAGATGTTTTCCTCTACTTACCTCGGCCTCCTCCAGAGCCGTCTGGGCCTCCAGCTTCTCCTGTTCAGCCTGTTTCTTTGATTTCTCCAGCTCATGGATGGTTTTGCCCGTCTCGGCCAGCTGCTCAGTGAGATCCATTATTTCCTCTGGAAAAGATAAAACACCACAGATTCATTTCTCTGCTTTAAAAGCATCAGATCTGCACAGCTTTAGGAGCGCGCCGACATACGTTGCAGGTTTTTGTTTTCCCGTTTGAGGGTCTCCAGTTGTTCTAGACATTCTTCGAAGGCATTCTTCATCTTGAAGTTCTCGGTGCCCAAACAACGCACCTCTTTCACAGCCGACTCCAGCTCCGCCTGACCCTCCTCATATTTCTGCTTCCACTCAGAAACAACCTGCAGGAAGACATGAACTACGATCACTATCTTTAAGGTTTGACAGCTGAAAGCAGTTGTGTGGTTGTGAATTTACTGTTGCACAGATAAGACAGTTTGATCCATCGTCAACATCTGAACATTATCATGAATTTGATTTGTGGCCTCCAGGTTGTCCTGCTATCTTTCAAAGTGATGCCGAGCCAAGACGGCAACACAAACAGAGCAATATAAAATCAGGCAATAGAGGAAACAACAATAAAAACATTTACTAATACTACAATAAGGCTGAAACAGACTCAATTAAAGTATTTGGAACCTTATCAAAATTTCTCTGCTTCTTGTCCAGGACCGCGGCAGCAGCATTCAACCTCTCCACATCCATCATCAGGTCCTCCACCTCTCCTTGCAGCCGCTGCTTCGTCTTCTCCAGAGAGGAACACTTGGAGTTGACGGCCTCCACGGCTTCTTCTGCGTCCTGCAGACGCAGCGCCAGTTTCTTCCTGCAGGAGAACCACAGACTGTATATAAGAAGTGGACGTAGTCATCGTGACGTCACTCATTGGTTTGTGGACTGACGTTATGAAACCTTGAGTTTGGTGATTTCGCCGTCAGACCTGTCAATCACTGTGTAGCCCCGCCCTAAAGCATACCCTGCTTTATGGTCTGTGTGACTCTAAATGGACCATAATGTACTAAATGAACATCATGCTGTATTGAAGAAGACTTGAAACTAGAGATTGAGACCATAAACTCATGTTTACAATGTTTACTGAGGTAATAAATCAAGAGAGAAGTAGAGTCATTTTCTCATAGACTTCTATACAACCAGAGGAGTCGCCCCCTGGTGGACACTAGAGAGAATGCAGGTTTTAAGACACTTCCTCATCGGCTTCACTCGGCAGGAACAAAGGTTGCCGCCTGAGGAGAAGACCCATCACAAGATGACGATCGTTAGAATACATTGTCAGCTGGCGTGGAGGTTTTTCTTACTTTGCCTCCTCGAGCTCTTCGGTGCGTTGGATGGCGTCCGTCTCGTATTTGGTCCTCCACTGAGCCACCTCGCTGTTGGCTTTGGACAAACAGCGGTGCAGCTCAGCTTTGGCCTCCTGCTCCTCCTCGTACTGCTCCCTCAGCAGCTCGCAGTCGTGACGAGACGACTGCAGACCGTGAGCCAGGGCGTTCTTCGCCTGCAAAGAAAAATGAACATCAACACAAGGCTAGGTCTTCAAACTTTTATCAAAAACTTTTAATCGTGCTCGTCTCTCACCTTAACCTCCTCCTCGTGAAGTCGTTTCAGCTCCTCGATCTGCTGAATGAAAGCTTGCTTTCCCCGAGTTAGCTGCAACATTAGCGATTCTTTTTCTTCAAGCTGGCGAGACATTTCACCTGCATGACATGTGATAAAAACCATTAGCGCCGCCTCGTCTCTGAGTGTTTACTGCTCAGATACGATCAAACCTTCCTCACCGTTTTCAGTCTGCAGCCGAGCTCTGTGAGTCGACAGGTCATTTATGAGTCTCTGATGCTCCTCCTCTTTGGTTTTCACCTCATTCAGTTGATCTTCCAGCGAACGGCACATTTTCTCTAAATTAATCTTGACATTTTTAAAAAGAAGACATGCTCTTGTTACGTCTTTACATGGAAATGAACATCAAGAAATTCATGAGGACTTGAGAACCGACCTTTGCTTTGGCCGTGGTCTCCATGTTGCTAGCTACGTCGTCCATCTCCAGCCTCATCTCGCTCTTCTCCTTCTCCAGTTTCTGCCGGACCCTCTGCACGTTGTCCAGCTGCTCCCCGAGTTCGGCCGCGCTGTCCGCATGCTTCTTGCGCAGAGCGGCGGACGTGGCGTCGTGCTGCAGCGAACTCTCCTCCAGCTCTCTGCGCAGCTTGAGGAACTCGGCCTCGCGCTTCTTGTTCATCTCGGCCTGAGCGGCGGTGGCTCCTCCGGCCTCCTCCAGCCGCTCGCTGATCTCCTCCAGCTCTCTGGACAGGTCGCACCGCTGCTTCTCCACTTTAGCTCGAGCCGAGCGCTCGGCCTCGATCTCCTCCTCCAGCTCCTCAATTCGGGCCTGCAGCGGAAGAATTCACCCACTGAAGTTAGTTTAGCTTTGTGTTATCACCTTAAACCAAAGCCGGTGATTGAATTCTTCACCTGCAGCTCTTTGATTTTCTTCTGCAGCTGAGCACCAAGAGCTTGTTCATCTTCCATCTTCGTCTGCAGCTGAGAAAACTCAAAGTCTTTCCTGTGAAGTCAAGTGAATTTTGAAAATGCAAATTTCGATTTTGAAAATGCATCAGCTAGCAAAGTGAGAGACGGTGAAACCACAGTAATGTCACTTCAGACCACCGTGCGGATGGATAGGTACTAACGTATTCGTTTAACGTTTGTGGGCAACAGATTTACTTTTTCAGCTTTTCGTCCAGCTGCTGCTTCTCGTTCTCCAGATCCATGATGGACTCGTGAGCCACTTTCAGATCCCCCTCCAGCTTCCTCTTCGCTCGCTCCAGATCCATACGGACCTTCTTCTCTTGTTCCAGTGAACCCTCCAGCTGAAAACCACACAGACAGACTGTCATTACATCTTAACAAGCTACGATATACTACAGCCTCACCTGGATGTATACAGCAGAGATGGAATGAAGCTAAATACATTTACTCAAGTAAGAATTAGAAGTTCTTGTACTTTACTGAAATATTTTGTTTTCATGCCACTTTCTGCTTCTACTTTCTTCTTCTTTACTTATTAAAATGTTGCATACAAAACATAAGAAGAGGATATATAATAGTTGAGCGGTCACCGTTTTAATACTTTACATTTTCAATGCACGTAATACTTACAAACTTTTTTTTTCAATGCAGGACTTTTCACAACGTAGTATTTGTACTTTCACTTAAAGGTGCAGTGTGTACGATTTGGCGCCACCTAGTGTTGTGGTTGCAGATTGCAACCAACCGAACATCCCTCTGCTCGCTCTGAGGACATCCTCACTATAATAACTCTACTTCAGGAGCAACAGACGGCTTTACACTCTGCAGCTTACGTTACTGCAGTTTCACAAGC